TCGGAGCCGGACTCGGAACGTATCGTTTGATTGTTCAAGGAGATTCAGTCGGAGCACTGGGTGAATTGGCGAGTGGAGCGGCATCTTGCGTTCCGGGCCTAGGCACTCTCGTCTCTGTTTGCGTTGACGCTGCCTTGGTGGCGTATGACGTTGCAAATTGATGCCCCATTTCCAAAAATCGGCAATAGTGGTGCTGGAGTATCCGCGCTCATCATCTCTTGCTGCTGTTTTCTATTGATTCAAATGAACAGAACGGGGTTCCTTCATATGTATTTTTGAAGATGAGAGAACGATTTTCTCTGAGAGCCCAGTTGACCTTCGTAAAAACAAGCAACCACAAATATCCTTGCAGTCGCGAAAAGGAAGCATTGCAGTAAAACTCAGTTCATCAATTCCTCCTTTTGCAATGAAAAAATGGGGGGAAAATTGTTTCAGCGAACATTGAAATTGCGAAAAAATCTTTGATGACATATAGCTTATTTCTGATCAAAATCAATGCCACTGTTCTTTCAGATTATGTCAAAGAAGAAAAAAAAAAAGAAATTGGTTTGCATTTCCCAAAAGCGAGCAATCAGCTTTAACTCGACATTCTCGGAAATAATTTGTAAGTTCATTCTGGCATCTGTGTGGGCCCTGAAGATTTTTGAAAAATATAACCTGTCGAGCAGAAATATGTAAAATTTCATCGAAAAACAAAAAATCGAAGCTTTTCACACAGCAAATGTAAAATCAGCATTGAAAATGTATAGAATGTCGCTCAGAATTTCTCTTGTTTAATCTAAGAATTAAAAGAACGGCTGTTTTCAAATAAAATACAGATATGTTTAAAATAATATTATTCTAATTCAGGAAACCTACAATTTTGAATGAATGAGTGCTCATCCTGTGCTAAAATGCTTTTTTAGTTCTTATTTCAGTGAGATCAGCATATTTTAAAGAAAAACTGAGGCATTAGAGGCATGCAATTAATTAAGTAGACAGTATTTTCGATTTTGATTTCTCCATTATTCATATCGCCAAAAACAGTTGAAGAAAAAATGAAATGGTCACCTGTATCTGCTGTGGAATATATTTAAAGGATTCTTTGCCTGTATCTCACAAAATGTTGGTCCAAAATGTTATAAAAATCTACAAGGCTCATTAAAAATACTTTTCGTTGTGAAGAATTTTTCACAGTTTCAAGAACTCAAGAAATGCTAGACCAATAATAAAGCAATAAAAATTATTTTCTCTCAAGTTTTTTTTTACTGAGTCCATGAGCCTCTTTATAATTTGAAAAAATATTGTTTGAAAATCGGTCAAGATTTTCCCGGATAACCCTTTTTATTCACAAGATTTGAATAAATGGATGCATGATATTTTGTATGCGTGAGGCATTCAGGGAAAAGCTGAAGGTTATTCTCGGTTATTCAGACTTCTACTCATTATCTTGCGCTTTTCAAAATTTTGAATGACAAAATTCCATACTTTATTCATCTTCATATATATGTCGTCCGTGTGCGAAATATTGCTTTATCAGAATAGAAAGTTCAACTGAAAAAAGTCCATCATTTTTATGCGATATCGTGAGCATTCTTTTCGTCTTTATATCACGCGCAAATATTCACGTCAAAACTTAGAACAAGAGCTTTAAGTTGTCATTCCAAATACAAATAAAAGGATTCGTTGAAAAACAAATTGGCACTAGAGTTCAACAGCCAAGAATCGATGATGTGTCAAAATCCAAGATTATGAGAAACAAGCAATTGAAAAAATATTTCGATAGGGTACTTTTTCGTCAACTAGATAAAGTCAGGGAAAAAAATCAGAGGCTCATCATTTATTGAATTATCCGTTTGCTTCTTGAAGTGCATTACACTAGATTTGGTAAAGTTGAAAACAATTTTTCCAATTGAATTTTCCGAACTATACGAAGTATAAACGAAACTCTTGCATCGAGAAGGAAACTGTTATTGTTTCATTTGTCAAGTTTTTCGAAACTGAGAGAAATAAGATGAGGACGAAAGGGACGCTACGATATTAAATTATATTTACCTAAAATTCAGACTCTCTAATTATTTTTACAGGATGAACTCATACGCGAAGAAAATTGTTGTGTTCGGTACCCCTGGAACGGGAAAGTCTTCTCTCTGCAACGTTCTTTTCTCTGGTGATCCAGATAATGGGGAAGAAATTTTTCTAGAAAGTCCTGGAACAGTGAGCTGCACACAGGACTGCCAATCAGAAGAAAGATTTTTCCTCGGGAATGCTTCTCGGCTAATAAAAATCATGGACACCCCAGGAATCGGCGATATTCAAGAAAAAAATGAGGAACAATCCAAAAGGCTCAAAGAAGGTCTGGAGAAGGAAAACAACGTTCACGCTTTCATCTGGGTCAAGAATTCCACTAATGTTCGATTCGATGGTCAGGACCAGCTTCTGTTTAATTTCATGGCTGAAGTTTTTGGAAGCGAGTTCATGACACACTTGATTGTCGTTTTCACGCGGTAAAACGTTCGAAATAATGCAAAACTTGAGATTTTATTCATTTTTATTTCATTCGTGACAGGTTTTCTCATTCAGTGGAGGATATTCGCAAACGTTCGAGGATTGGCCCAACGTCTGGAAGTCTTTACCAGGGTTTCCGGAAGGAACTCGGCATCATGGCAGATAACGACGGGATCTCGCAGATTCTTGCCGTGGACATCGACGCCTATTTCAATCCGGATGATGAGTACGAAACGACGGTTTTCAAACAAAACTGCGAGAAGCTATGGAAACAAATTCAGACATTTAGTTTGACTCCAGTAAATCGACTTGAAATAACGAAGCGGACATATCGTGATGTATGTGAACGAATCAAGTCACTGGAAGACAAGATGGAGGTCCTGTACGGAGCAGAACTCGAAAAATGCCAACTGGAATTGGAAAATTTGCAAGAGATTCAAAAAACGTCTGGCAACATCCTCCGACGATCCGCTGCCGTCACTGGACTCCTTGCTGTCCGAAACGTGAGTCAACATTTTCATTTATTATTTGTTGCAAAAATAAATTAATTCATGTGCATTTAGAAACAAGGCTTTTAAAGTCACTGTTCGCACCAAAAGCTTGTGTATCAGTGGGATAAGAATCTGGAATGAAGGTTTTCCAGATTCTTATCACCAAAGAAAAGTTAAGTTTAGAATAAAAGTTAAAATATCTCAAGATCCCTTAATCAAGTCAATTTGTGTATGGTTGAAAAAAGTTGGACAGCATCATTAGCTTTAATTTAAGATATTGTATTTTGAAATTTTTAAGCTTACAATTTGCAGTTATTTGCTTTGGAAATTTGCGCATTGGGAATTGCACCATAGGCAGAGAAAGTTTTCTTTGCTGATTTTATTCCATTTTGAAAGCAAGATTTTACTGCTCAATGCAAGATTGTATTTGCTGATTGTGTGTGTGATTGTTGTCTTTATGAAAGCTGTGATCAGAGACAATAATGAAGTCCTCTTTTAACATCCAAGGAGTGAGGATGCCTCAGCTTCCCTTATTTCTGCAGTCCTTATGTAGTTTTGCAATTTTAAAATTAAAATCCCTTGTAGGCTGGGTAACTGCCTCAGCACTCAGATTTCTCTTGCATCTGGAATGTTTTTAGTGCAGCCTAAAATATGTAATAATTATTTTAAAAAAACATCAAATTTTTGCAAATAGTTGTTCCTAAATATGTTTAAGCCTTTGGCAAACATGGTTTGAGCCTCAGATGGAAAATTTTTTCATTTCCAACCAAACCTTCATTTATTATTGGATAAAAAATCATCTTGGATCTCGATATTAAATTGACAAAGCTTTCTACAAAGCTTTCCAAAAAGAATTATGGTCAGTCAACTAATTCTTTTTTTTTCAAATCCCCTGACAAAGGCCCAGCAAAGAAATTCCCTTTTGTGGAGAGAACTTCCATACATCGATTTTTTTTCCAGATTTGGCTTTAATCCCAAGTTTAAAAAAACATTTTTTTAATTTTGAAATTTTCAACTTTAGAGTGAAAACTCTTGCTCTGCCACGGAAGAGATAATGCAATTCTTGCAGAGTAATACTCTGTGTCCCTCAACATATAAAAATACAGTATTATACGATCGTTTTATCTCTTCTTACAGACAAACAGTGGTGCCAACATGGGCGTCCCCTTTTTGGGTTCGTTAGTTGGCGTGTCGACGGGTGCAATCCCCACTGGTTCTGGCGACCCAGTCGATTACGTCAAGAGGTTTTTCAGTCGTCTGGCATCCGGTGTCCGTTATTGTGGTTATTTTGTTACAAGACCTGTAACCATCGTCACGGACCTTTCCTCATACATGTTCGACAGCATAAAAACCTTTGGTGGCACAGTGAGACCCTGATATGCGGACACCCTGACATACGGACAATTTGACTTAGGGACACTTCAAAGGCAAAATTCAGGCCATACTCGAGACATTGGCTCGAGTTAGAGACACTTTTCTGAAATTTCCCAAAAATAATTTCCGAAACAATTGCTCAGTAAAACCAGTTACTTGAATTTCGGGTGATGAAAGACTTCCGTTCATCTAATAAGGGTCTCGATTCGAGGAATAGTTTCTGAAAATGTTGTGAGCAAATACAAAGCATCGTCATTCAAAATGAAGCGACGGTATTAATTTCCACCCATTTTGGTAAAACAATGGTTTTATTTTAAATCTCCAAAGATAAATAAAGCATTTAGCTTTTGCTGTGAAAGAGTTCGACATTCAAATCAAGCAGAAAAATAAAATCTGTGTATGCCTTGCATAAAATCCGAATATTTCATCGATCGTTTCAGAAATGTACATGTGAACTATGACTTCGAAGAAAATTGTGGTGTTCGGAACCCCTGGAACTGGAAAGTCTTCTCTGTGTAACGTTCTTTTCACCGGTGATCCAGATCATGGAGAAAAGGTTTTCATAGAAAGTCCTGGAACATTGAGCTGCACACAGGACTGTCAATCCGAAGAAAGATTTTTCCTTCGAAACGGTTCTCGACCAATGAAAATCATGGACACCCCGGGGATCGGCGACATTGAAGGAAAAAACGAGGAACTGTGCAAACGGTTCAAGGAAGGTCTGGAGAAGGAAAACAACGTTCATGCTTTCATCTGGGTCAAGAATTCCTCGTGTGTGCGATTCGATGGTCAGGATCAGCGTCTGTTTAAATTCATGGCTGACGTTTTTGGAAGCGAGTTCATGACACACTTGATTGTGATTTTCTCGCGGTAATACTCATCAAACCATTATGCTTTGCTAATTCAAATATCGAAATCTACCTGTATTTTTTTCTTTCTTTTCGAAAACCTTCATGGCAGGTTCTCTCATTCGAGTGCAGACATTCGCAGGCGTTCCAAAACCGGCCAAACACAGGAAAGCCTTTACAGAGGATTCCAAGATCAACTCGGGATGTTTGCAGATTGTGACTCTGTTCAACAGCTTTTCGTCGTGGACATTGATGCATATTTCAATCCGGAAGACGAGCACGAAACGACGGTTTTCAAGGAAAACTGCGAGAAACTTTGGGGCAAAATTGAGACTTTGAGCTTGACCCCTGTAGAGCGTCTCGAAATCGTGAGGGAAAAGTATCACCAAGTTTCTATACAAATTGAGTCGCTGAAAGACAGGATGCGGAACTTGTCAGGGGCGGAACTTGAGGAAGCTAATGAACAACTAAAGAAGCTTTTAATCCTCAAAAGGAAGTATGACGAGATCCTCACTCGATCTGCTTGTGTCAACTTCCTTCTTGGCTTGGGGAAGGTAAGATATGTTTTTTGATTATAAAATCAAGAATGCATGGAAATGTTCAATAATGGACCAAAAATCAGAAGTATTGTACAGTGA